ACAGCTCGCCAACACCAAAAGTCGTCACCAAAGCTCCCATGCCCATAAGTCTGCCGTACGCATCAGCCGCATAGCCNNTGGACGCATGTCAACGAAGCTCCCGACTCGAAGAGTACCGAGGTATCGGACCTGCATTCAATTCATTGCAATTGCCAACCCAGTTGATGCCGCAAGGTTCCACATAGTCAAGGGCGACGAGATTGAAGTCTCCGGGTACTCCATGAAGGTCCTTGACACCAAGTTGATGGAGTCGGGTGAACAGGTATTCGGCAACGTTGACTTTCTGGCTGCTCATGGTGGATGTGATGATACTGGGATTGAGACTTCGTTGTGACGAGGGCGGTGAGGTGCTTTGAGTATTTGCGGCTCCTCCGGTAATGGCCTGCAGCAGCGGGGGGGGGGGGGGGGGGGTAGCATCCTTGTCATCGTAATAATGTTGTAGGAAGTGACGGTTGGCAAGCCGATCGTCAGGTCAGACTTCGGTGGAAGGAGCGATGGATGCGGCTTCGATCCGTCTTGGCTGGCGGAACCCGGCCCGTCCTTCTTTCATGTTGCGGGGTTGTTGCAAGGAGAAAGACCAACCCTTGAACATATGAAATCTTCGCTCTCGATGCATGTGCTGGACTGTGTTCAGCTGTACCTTCCTTTATGGGAGCAAAACTGTCTCTCTCCTTCTTCAATTCAGATTCTGTGCCGTTACGCACCCGGCTGCCGACCACCTTCTTTGTAGGGTTCAATCCTCCTTGCAGGTGCTCGCAGTAGGCTGGATAGTATTCGTCTTTGATCCGCGAGAGGACCTTGTTCCAGAGCATAGTCAATACAAACATCGAGAACACACTAGAATTACCGGCTTTACCGGGATTGAATGGCCCCATGACAATCACCCTAGGAGCGCAGTAGGCTATGTAAAAGCTTCAGGTGTGACCAACGACTGTCCAACCGACCACAGGTGGTATTGGCAGTCGTTGATCAAGACCGAAGTTCCGAACATACCTCATGTGTGCGAGAGCAGCGGCTAGCCAGACGACCAGCTGAAGTCCCGCCTCATCTGCACTGCCGCCATGTCGCTTGACGACTATTGGGCATGGCAAGCACATGGTGGAAGTATAAGCATCGGACAGATGGGAAAGCTGCATGTCGCGACCATCGTACTCCTCAGTCATGGTCAGCGCAAAGTCGCACTTTTCATCAACGGGCCCGACGTGCCTGCCGACAGACTCACTGAACTCGACTCAAACGACCGGCTGTGGGGTGTCGATGAAGGCGTGGGCACCGAAATCACACGCTCACTCAAGGCGTGCTGGTGCGTGTCCATACCGTCGCCCAGCATCCTAACCCTCTTCCAGCTATTGCTTTGTTGTCTTCTCCGTTCCTGCTCTTCTTGAAAAATGTCGGCTTTGCGCTTGAGCATGCGTTCATGCAGCGGCCCGAGCATTGGGGAGGCGCGACGAGAGGGGTGTTCGGCAGCATTGTCGACGTCGTTTGCCTCGGCAGGTGCGTGATGCTTGTCCGAGACTCGACCCCCGTTGCTTCCTCGAAGAATCATAAGAAAGAAATACGCGGCCAAGATTTTGCGGGACGACGTTGCCTGGACAACCACAACAGCTCGACCTTGATGGGCTGGAGCCTCGACTCGTCGCTCCTGCCCGCTCGAGACCTGAGTCCTTTGTGTTCCTGATATGTCACATTCGTTGAAGCTCGATGCAGCAAACATCATGTGGGCTCTTGACCATCAAGATGCCAAATGTCCACTAGAAGAATTACTTTACTGCATCGGTTCACCATGATCGACAGTGTATGGAGATTTCTTCGCCCTATGTATGCCCGGATGACCACGGAAACGTTCACGCCAAATCCCACCGCATCGATCTCAGCCTTTTTTGGTGGCTCTTGGTCAATCAAGGAGATGCAGTCTCGAATGGCTACCACAAAGACTGTCTTTGTTGCTATCTCGGTCCGACGAGTTCTGGGACGCTCGCGAACCATACCACCCTGCTCCTGGGTTTTCGATCGAGATCGCACTATCCTGGGCTCCTTTACTATCCTTGGAAGCGTACACAATGTTCCTTATGGTAATACAGTTATCGTCTATGAAGGTGTTTGTGGCATGGCACTCGTCGATAAAGCCGGCGCCTTTCGATCGAGATGTGAGCGATTTTGTCTCACAGGCTTGGTAGTTCATCTTGTCCTGGTTCTCAATCAGAGATTTGAGGTGGAGGTGAGAGAGACTGCAGACGGCTTGGGCAAGGACGGCAATAGCCTGGTTCGCTTGGGGACGTGTTGCACAAGACATATCCTCCACGAGGGACTCAAAAGAATTCAGAAGACGGTGCTGCGGATTATCGAAGATCCAGCCGGATTCCCTGGTGCGGAGGGAAGGTGTTGTTGTGCTTGTGCCCCTAGCAACAGGATCACGTCACGTAGACACCGATGTTTCGACTGGACGACTTCTCCGTTCACTGTCTTTGAACGCGCGCACACCTGTTCGTCATTCTCTCATCAAGCACCCTCCCTCTCGTCAACAGCAGCTCGATCTGGCTACAAAATCGTCACAACATAGCGGAGCTGAGCAGCCTCGTCACCGCGGCCTCAGCAATGGTCCAACCCAGAACTGCCACGCCTGGCTCGCGCACTGTCAAGCTGCCACAAGAGATTATCGATATGATCTCGGACAGTGCTACCCTCTTCTCCCTCATGCGCGTCGATAAAGCCATGTTCAAGCTCGCGGTGAAGATGTTTCATAAGCCCACGACTTTTGACATGGTCACCAGATTGCCAGGCATCCACAATGGCCGTCGACAGATTTATGCAAGTCATATCCAGGCCCTGAAGCTCGGCGTAGGTCCTGGTAGCGTGGTGCCTCTTCTCTGCGGCGTTGATTTCCAAGCACTCAAGCATCTCACCATCACCTACGATGCCCCACACACTGTTTCGACGCCCCTTTTCCCTCAAGTGGGCTGCCATCTGGAGCTGGCCAAATCATGGTGCCAACCCTAGAAGAAGTCACTCTTGTGTGCGCAGAGCAGGCCACTGGCACCTTCACGACATGCGATTTCTTACCACTCCTTGCTAGTGGTACCCCCACCTTCGCACTCTCAACCTGAATGCCAAGATCATGACCATAGATCCCAGAGCTTTGATCAAAGTACTCGAGACCTGCAAAGAGTCGGAAAGCCTCGCACTCGGTGCCAGTGCGAGCTACTACACACCCACACCCTTGATCAGCGATGACGCCTTTGCCGCCATCATGGCTCAACCTCACCTAACATTTCTTCGCCTGGCGTGTTCCATTCCCTTTCCAACGGTCGGCAAGGCTTTGCACCCAGCATACAAGCCCGGTTTCGACAATCTCACCGAGTTGTGTTTGATGTCCAGAGACAGCACCGAACCCATCATCGAAATTCCACCACACATGTCGCATCTGCAACGCCTCACAATCTTTTTGAGCGGCCGCGCCAATGTCTTTCCTGTCTTGTCTCGTTTGACAACTCTTACCAACCTGAGCATCCACTACCGAGACGGCATCGAGCTTGGCCGCGCCGACATCGAAGCGCTTTACGCCCTGAATAACCTCACTCATCTGCATCACCTCACTTGCTTCGAGGATGGTCCACCTCCTTACAATCCCAACAATGCTGTTCCCCCAACACGCCCTACAGACCTTGCGTACTCGATAAGCTGGAACATGTACACTTCGGCGTCGAAAACCCCTCAGTCTTTGAAAGACAATTGGTCACTATCGCCCGTGCTGCTACTAGAACCAAGTACCTGAATGTCACTGGTCCTTGCCTCGACCTCTCTTTCTTGACGTCCATCGATATGGTACTCTTTCCTGAGCTGCTGGACTTTTCCGTGGACATGGATTATGTGTACGATCCCACCATCAGTGGAATTTCCGTGTAAGCTATTATTTTCTTCCGTGTTCGCTTGTCAGAACTGACTGAATGTTCGATAGAGCGGAGAGAAATATGACAGCCGAGATGATCTCCAGGCACGCTCCTAAGCTTGGAACGCTTGATTGTGGTGACCTCGAGGTCAACAATGCTTGGAAATCGCTGCATGGGATCAGTCAAGATTTCGATTGGTCCAACTGCTTTTCTGACTACTCAATGCTACTCAAACAGCACCCTAGGACTGGTGGCCGTGGGTGAGAGCCGGAGCGGTGTACTACCGACGTCGCTGTCTCGCATGTACCAAGAAGTCAAGAACACAAGGAGTTGAGCACCGGGCAGTCACAACATTGGACTGTAAGACCGCGAAGGTAGCGTTGGCGGGACAAGAGGCTGAAGAGTAGGACATGAGGCATTGTCCCAACGTAACCAGCGGTAAGGAAATCTGGCACACTCAGATTGGAAACAGATACTTTTCGTAAACACATAACCCATCATCCTCCACTGCTACCTACAATGCCTTCGCAACAGTATCCATCTTCTTCCTAAAGAAGCCGCCTTGCTGCTCTACATCCATACCACTGGAGTACATATCCACCTCCTTGCCATGACTGACCACATTACTCAATCCCTCTTCATCAGGCTCTGGTGCCTCCAGCCATCCACCCACAGGGTTAGGTGCTTTGACTGGCGAGATCAGACAGAGCACATAATAAACACCTCCACTAACAATGAAACCAGTAAAGAAGTTGAGCCGGTAGATGTACGTGGCGCCAATAGGCACAGAAGCACCACAAGCGCCAGCAAAGCCCACCACATTGATGAGGATACCGCAGATATAGGCAACATAGCCACGCCACTGGATACCGAACTTGCCATAGTAAGGTCCGTTGACATCTGCGCTGTACAAATCGCGAGCTTGAAGGTATCCCTTCCTCACTGCATAGTAATCGATAATCATGGGTCCAGCGATGGCAGACAAGAAGACCGAGTAAGCAGACAGATACGTGGTGAAGGTGCTCGATCCAGCGACAAACTGCCAAGGACAGATGACGATACCAATGACTGCGCAGATATATCCACCTCTGCGGATATTGACGTAACGAGGCAGTAGAGCGGTCAAATCTGTACCAGCAGAAATGGAGTTTGCAGCAATGTTGGTGCCGAGTTGAGCGACTACGAAGGCCGCTGCAATAAGGAAAACTCCTGCTCTTGCGCCTGCGCTGCCGTGTCCGTGTTCGGTGATGAATGCTTTGAGGAGCTCGAGCGGGTTCCACACGGCGCCTAGTTCGGGATAGATGACTGCTGAGGCGGAGCCAACGAGGATGCCGATGAGNNAGGTAAGTCCGAAGCCCAGAGGAATGGTGATGAATTGAGGTAGCAAAGCATCGCTAGGTTTGCTGGCGAAACGGGAGAAGTCGGGATCGTTGACGATGAGGGTCGCAAAGTTGGAGACAGAAGACATGATGCCAGTGATGACAGCCCAAGCAAGCTCAGAGCCATGAGCTGTTGCGGGTTGATGGATGATCTTGCCTGCGCCACCTGCTCTTACAAGTGCCCAGATGAGGAAGGCAATACCAGCTGTAGGTGCCACGACAGCTTTGACAGTGAACAAGTGGCGGACTTTGTGGACGGGAAACCAAATGAAGGGAAGGGAGCCAGCCCAGAAGAGGATAAAGCCGATGAGGTAGTTGACGGTGCCTCCCAAGGCGATCTCCTTGGTCAAGGAAGGCCGTGTGCCGAACGAAGGCCATATGGCGAGGATCATGAGGTAGACACACTCGCCGCCGATCCAGCCTTGTACACCATACCAGATACTNNAGTGGCCTGTCAGAGGATATCATCGAGGGCAGCGGTTTTAGACTTACCATGCCATCAGGGCGCGGTTCAAGACTGGCCANNGCGAACCAAAGATACCAAAAGACGCCCTGTTCATGACAGGGAAAGAGATGTGGTACACAGCGCCAACGCGACCCGTCAAGCAAATGAAGAAAGCCGCGATACTGTAGCCGACNNCCTGCGATTTTCATCAGCAAGACAATCACCCAAAACATAGGTGATCGACCTACCAGACACAAATCCATGCCTGCCACCAAGACAAGCCGATATCAAGCGAAGAAGCAGCGATCATCCACGTGTTGATGTTGAACGAGTCGGCAATCCAGAAGCCAACAAAGTTGAATGCCCTCCACTGACGCCTTTCAGGCTCGACGATCTTCAAGTCATGGTTGGTGAGGAACAATTCCTTGTTCGACAGACCGCTCTCATGCTCGACCTCCTATACAAGAGTCAATGGATTGCACTTGAGTCAAGCATAGCATTCGAGTACTGACAATTTTTCGCAATAACGATGGCATGATTGTTGTGTGTCGGAGACGGAAAAGAGCGGCAAACACTCATGGTTATATGCATATCATATTTGCCATGAGACGTCGTAGAGATAAGACGACCCTTGACAGGGTCAATGCGCAGCAAAAGGATGGGGATGTGGCTTGCAGGATGATCTCCAAACCTTAGATAAGGATGTTTTTGCTGATTTTTCTTTCATGTCGCTCTAGAAGGCGAGGATAGGGTGCGGGTCCTGTAAGATCTCTATACAGACCTGCAGAGACCAATCTCGAAGCTGGATCGTCGAAAGAGACCGCAAGACAGGCGTCGCATGCAGCTCCGTGGAACGTATCAAATTACGCAAGCAGGTGAATAAACCTAGGGGCCGACAAGCCAATAGATCGTTGTTTCGACATCAATTGGCTCAAGATACACAAGCAACTTGGCTGGTTGGTGTATCTGTCTATCTCTGTTGATTTATATAGCGATATAGATGCGCCGGGCATGTTACTCGATGTGATCGAGTCAAAACCGGGGGACAAGGTTTGCAGTCAATGAATAGAGTTCATGCGACATCTGCCGAGCCCGAGGGCCCTTATCTCGGAGATCTGGGGAGGTGACGGCAAGCGACTCGATCCGACCGTGGTAGGAGCTCTTGGACCACATGGACTTCTTCTAGACTCCTCTGCTCCTATACGCTAGTTTGCCAGTCTTCTCACTCTTCAGGTGCAGTGGTCCCATATTGCCGTTCACATCACCGCCCGGTCAGATTTGGCCAAGTCTTTTTGTCGAGGGTACCACCCTGCCCTCGACAATTCTCGCATCAAGATCTTGTTACCCGCTTTGAGGAGACAGCAGTTCTATGATTGTCTGATACAAAGTACGGAATAATGGCTTTGTTCATCATGGGTTGATGCAACTTGTCGTTTCCTCTTACCAGCGTTGTTGTGCTGATTCACTTCGCTATTGGCTCGGTCCTTCTGCTTGTGACTTGATTCCAGTCGCAAGTAAATCAAACCTCGTCATGTCGATCACAATACAAATCTACTCTCAACCAACCATTTCCTGCTGGATCAGGCGGGCAAGTGAATAATTGGTTTTCGATCTCAAGTCAATAAGACGAGGATAACACTCGTTGAGAATGAGCTCCTGCCTGTAACACAAGATGAAAGTTTCAAGAGTCGGCTGCCAAGCATGCATCACACTTACTGTTCCGTGGAGCCTTCAGCATCGAGAATCTCATGGACCTCTAGGGTCTCCAAGTTGGCAAATGGTGTCTCTGCGAGTCGAGAGATATCATCTAGACCATATGATGCACTCGACAACGTCAGCTCTTTGAGGGCAGGATAACTTGATGACAGTTTGCATAAGGCAGTAGCAAGCCCTTCGCCAACGAAGTAATCATCTTCCTCTCGGTCGAACTTGAGCCGCTCTAGTGTCTTGTGAGACCCGAACAAGCAAGTCAGATCATCTGGGGAGATGGCAGATCCATCAATTCCCCAGGTATAGTCGGATATCAGCGTGAAGCTCTTTAGCTTCATCGATCGCGCGGGTGGACCGATGAAGACGTGACTCGCGCTTGCTATAATCTCAAGATTTTCTTGTTTGCAAGCGACGATATCCATCCCGTGGCAGATGCCAAGGCTCAAGAACATCAGATAGAGGCGAGGTCCTTTCCACCCATGTTCACCCGCAGGGACCTGTTGCGCAGTCTATCACTACTCTTCTGTAGGAGCTCAGGGGCTCAGGGGAGTACTGCATGATTACTGCAAATGCATGTGTTACTATCGTAGACCATACACCCAACCATGACTCACTATCTAGATCCTGGAACCGCCTCAACCATCCATAAAGCCAGGACTGGCAGCACATATTCGTGCATACCTACCATGCCATCCCTCAAACTCACTCGCCGCCTACTTCCCACCACCAACCAAACCCTCCATCCTAACACTCTCCCTTGTGATTGCACCCCTATGCCTCTTCTCCGTGATGACATACTCCCTACACAAGAACCCAACACCAACAGTACCACCAGGTCCCACGCTAACTGTCGCCACAGCTAGACCAGCAAAAATCGTGATACAGCTGTGATTAATCATACCAGCAGCCTTGGCATCCCAAGCAAAGTACAGCAACCAGAGATATGCTGCCGAGACGAAGAGAAGAAAGCTCCATTGCATGATATCCGAGACGAAGGTATGGACATTGGTGACAGAAGTGGGCAAGTGCTGCGGCAGGAAGACCTGATGTAGCGGGGTTGGAGCAGTGATCAGAGTGTATACCCAAATCGGCGTCGAGATGAGTGCAGGAATACCGACAGTGTATCTGATTGTCGAGACATCTCGCTTCGGCGCGTGAATCTTATCTTGATCAACGGTATCCTTCCAGATCTTGCTAATGGCGAACTGGGCAAGCGAATGCGTGATTGGAAACAACTGCCAGATCTGAAGCCATGCCTGGCGTTGGGAGACTTCAGGCAAAAGGTAGCTTTGCAGTAGCGGAAGATAGTAGACCATGAGTAGGGAGGGCAGGATGGCGCGAGTGTACTTCATGTTGGTCAATCTCATGTCGATTGATCTGAACGAGTCGATCGATGTCAAGACCCAGTAGACAAAGTAGTACAGAGGCGCCATCATGCCAGTGCCTTTTTGTTGGGCAAAGAGGGCAAAGAAGCCAGGTCTGTAAATATTCAGTCGAGCTCATCGAGTGATGTTGGAGACTCACAGCTGAACAGGTATCAAAGCGTTGCAGCAGCGGATGGCCTCCAAGGACCAGATAGCAAGAATGACACCGAAGTAAGCGAGGTAGCTGGCTGTGCGAATGCCTGCAGCAGGGTCGGAGTTGGCAGATGCGGACATGTAGACATCGTCCAGGGTGGCAGANNGCTGGGAAGTATCAGAGATAGAACAGACCTTGGATCACAGTACATACCTGTTGTTTTGTCCGCCAAAACCTAGGATGTTTTTGGGCAACGACGAAAAGGTGAGCGCAGCATAGTATCCAGCAGAGTTCAACGCATCTCCAGTATCAGCGATCAGAGTAGAGTTGACAATACGGTAAGCATATGCGAAGATAACAAGGAAAGGTGAGGCAAGCAAAGCTCTGACAANAAGATTCTCCTTGTTACCTTGGCCTTGTTCGGAGTTGAACGGCATATGACCCAATAGAGAAGCCTCGGGCGGGAGAAGATAGTCGATCTTAATTGCTCCCACGGAGATGTCACTGGTGAGATATTNCCAAAAATCGCCCAATACGTTCAAGCCGTACCTAGCAANAAGAGCGTGGCCCCATGTTGCAAGGGCTTGAACGTGAGTGAGGAAGTTTGATGCTTCGATAGCAGCTGCAGCTCTGATTTCACGACTTTTCTGGTAGTGTTGAAGGCAAGCGACGATTTGTTCCTGGGTTGGGCGTTGTCCATTGGATTTGTCTGACAGCTTCTCGATCGAGTTTGCAAGCGCGGCAGCACTTTCAATTGCCGCGTTGCCGCCAAAGCCNNTATAGTGTCGTCGGTATTTTCTCGACATGGTTTTCGTAAGTAGAACAAGTTTACCGGCGTTGGGCGTCATCTTCTGGGCAGAGTCACCAAGGCATGCTATGCGGCCCCATGTCCAAATCTNTATTCTCATCAGCAAACCACTCAGCAGTGTCAAGGCCATCCAACATACTTTGTAGGTGGCGGTCTCGATGCCAACAAGCGTGCTGGAGACACTGTNTTTGTGAAGATCACGAAGCGACACTTTGTCTGTAATCTTCATGTCGCCATGACGCTCGGCATACTCGATCTCGTCTGCTTCGGTGTACTTTGGAATGTTCGGATGCTTGTAGGTCTTGTCCATCTTCTCAAAGACAAAGTAGCAGGTTCAGTCGTTCTTACCGACAATAGCCATGGTGCTACGCTTTACGTTGTAGCCCACATCAATGTCACCAGCGGGTAGACCGGAGGAAGAAGACGTGATGCCGTAAAGACATTGATACTGACTTTCGAGNNAGCTGAGATGGAATTCAGCACTGCTTGAGTGTGGACCATTAGACGTCTTACGATTCTTGTCGTTCTTGACAAGCTCTGGGTCAACTTCATCTATAAGCCGCCACATTTCGCTTCTTGCCTTGGAGTTGACTCCATCAGCGCCAGCCAGTATATCACCCATGTAAAAAGTGCCGTCATCGCAGATCACTGTGACGCCACTTGAATGTTGGCGAACCATGGTGAGATTCCTGCAAAACAAGACCTTGCTCTTGTCCTTAAGATTGTCGTATAGGACTTGAAGGATGTTTTGTCGGTCGCTGAACCCGAAAGCGTAGCCGCTTCNTACAAGACAATTAGCTATCAACAGTAAGAGCAGGAGAATGTTTCTCCTATACCTAGCCTTCATGAGTTGAGATACAGTCGAAGCCTTGGCAAGGAGCCGACCATTCTTGTCACGGTCGTGCATCCATACGATTGGTTCCTTTTGCGATCAGCAGATGGAAAGATCTGAGATGTCGGAATGATTTACCACACACGCGTAGAGAGGTTCGCTGCAACCAAGCTGGTCCAGGATCTGCAGATGATGAGTATTCAGCGGCGAGGATTGGAACGAGGTTGGCCGACTGACCCTACATCCGTTGGAGAGAATGCCGATGGAAGCACCGACCTGAGGTGCTATACTTTNTCTTCGCTCGAGGAGGACATAGTCGATGTCCGCTTGNNCTAGAAACATTGTTACACGGTGTTTGTTGGCAGAGTCTAACAGACCTACTTCAAGCGCATTCGCGAGGGTCAGACCAGCAATACCACCGCCGGCGGTGATGACTTTCATCGCAGTTGCCATGATTTGAAGGGATGTCTACGTGTAACAAATCACTGATGAAAAAATGCGAGAGACGAGAAAAGATGAAAGGGCAATGCACGAGGATAAAAGAACGGGTGGCACGGATGTGTAGGGAATACATGTCGACGGTGCTTACCTCAGACCCTGACAGGAATGGAAAATGATAGGACTAGTTCGGCTTGTAGAGAGAGCGCTTACCTGCTGCTTGTGTGAGACCCACCTTGGGTTCTAGGACAGAATCCAAGATGCACCGCGTGCTGGACATGATCGAGACAGGCAAGATGGCGAGTGCCGATTCAATCAGAAAGAAGGTGACAGTTCTGACAAAGCGAGCGATGCGGCCAAGACTTGTAGATCTGAAACCAGAGGTGCATGAGGAGGATCTTGATCCATGAGTGCATGGACCTAAGTCTTGATCGGTGTGGGCACAGGCAAATGTCAGATGCCAACAAGCATTTTCGCAAGGGGAAGGGTGAGGTTGACAAATCACGGATCTGAGGCAGGAAGAGGGACGGACGTGTATATCTCAAAGCGTCCTGTAGATAGCGATGGACAAAGAAAGGCTTCGGGCATAGAGTCAAAGAGGCAGGGGCGGGACTGCCAGTGCCAAGGAATGGGTGGGTCGGGAAACTCCGCGTTTTTGGAGCGACGCGCGCCCTCGGCCAGCGAGNNCAAGACGCAAGTCGCGACTGCCAGGAAGGAGCGACATCCAGGTAATACCCAAGGAAGGAGCGACTGTATGCAGCAAGAGGCGTGGATCGGCACACTGAGGAAGGAGCTGCTGCACGCGTCAACGGATCAACAACCCTCGGCCGACACTTCCATACCACCGTCAATACAGGTCTCCATACCAGACGACAGCATGGCCGACCTCTCGGCGCTGCCCGACCCCACGCCCGAGACACTGCCTATCATTGACGCTGTCGACCACAACGAAGGAGATGTCAGCGACGCCAACGACAACGACGCCGACAACGACAACGACGGCGACGACAACGATGCCGCCCCCTCAACATACAAGGTCGTCTGTGAAGCAGCCCCTCCTGAGCGGCGCTTCCCTTCGTTCGAAGCAGCCATAGAGTTCGGCAACGCGTGGTCGCGCGACAACGGCTTCGACCTGGTGCGCATCAACAAGGGCAAGCAGGGCCGCAACCCTCAAGGTGTCACGTACAAGTTCCTGTGGGAGTGCAAGCGCCACGGCAAGCCCGCCAACACGCGCAAGCTGACCCCCGACCGCCGCCAACGTGCTGCTCGAGGGTCGGTCAGGATCGGCTGTCGCATGCGCATCGTCCTCGTCGCCGTCGAGCCCCAAGTGCCGCAGGGCGAGTGGCAGATCCGGCACTGCGGGCGCAACGGGCACAACCATGGGCCCGACAATGCAGAGTCGTTCCCCGCCGTACGCCGCCGCACGCGCACGCACGAGATGGACGTCTTCATGGCCACGCAGCTGCGCCAGGGCCTGTCGCGCTCAGAGACGCTGCAGCTCGTGCGCCAACACTGGCCCGACGCGCTTGTCACTCGCCAGGACATTGGCAACTTTGCAAAGACGTTTGCCCAGAAGATTGGAGCTTCCCGACTGACGCCCGAAGCGACGCCAGACAATTCTCCCATGCCTCCTGTATCTTCTGCTTCTGTCAATGTCGCCGCCAATGCACCTCACAATCCTCAGCATGCCCAGCTCCAGCACCCCCAAGCTCAGCCGTCTCTGTCTCATCCACGTCAGCATCCAATGCAGTCGCTCGGCATGCCGCTTCAACAGCCAAATCCTGAAGCCACGCGAGCTGCCTACCAAGCTGGCTACCAGGCTGCCGTTGAACAGCATCGCATCAACAGTGACCTCAACCATCGTGTGCAAGCCCTCGAAAGCTCCGTTCAAGTACAAGACCGCATCGCTTCNCTCGAACAAACCGTCAACAACTTGACTCAACTCATCATGAGCGCTTACATGCCTCATATCCAGCATGCGCAGTCTTGATCATTTTTTTGCACAGGGTCGGCTGGAGTTTGCTCGGCGTTTTGCCTTTTGCTGTGCGTGATACCCACATGGTTTTTCTCTATCTATTCTTTTTCCTCTTCGTTGCTCTGCTTGCAGTATGATTCATCAAAATCAATCGGTTTCCTACATTCATCCCTGTCCCCGTCCTTGTCCTCAAGATCCACGCTCATTGGCTCAGACCCCACCGCTTGGCAGACCCCGGCGCTAAACAGCTACTGCTACCAACTTCGACTGCAGCTTGCTCTTCCTCTTCCCTCTTTCCAAATCATGTTGAGTTGATTTTCGCCAAGAGAACATGTCCGCTGCCGAGCAGGTCTTGTCTCTACCCGAGATTTTAACCTTGGTAATTGAGGACCTGGAGTTTGACCGTGCAGCTCTGTATTCGGCACACCTGGTCAACACGACCTGGGCTCGGTATACTCACGAAGTGCTCTGGCGCAATGCCCCTCTCTCCTCTCTTGCCGCCATTGAACCTTCTCGACAGCAGCAATATGCGAACATGATCCGCGTCTCCTTTTCCTGGACTCGATGGTACCCGGCTGAGCTGGACAACTTATCCTTCCCATCACTCGAACGGTGTCTGTTCGAAGCGGGAGACCTCCTCAATCTCCCCGACTTCCACCACTGCATACCTCCGTCCTTCAAATCTCAACCACAGTTGCTCGACNNATGGTTCAAAGGCGCAGAGGCCCCAGAAGATACTCATCGCCTGCGACGACAAGGCCCGTTCGAGGACAAGCTCGACCGTCGTCAGGCTCCGCACAGGGCTTTGACAAGAGAGGCTCATTCGTTTCGTATTCATGGCCCAGAGCTGCGCTCGCTCCTTGACTGCAGTGAATACCTCGGCGAAAGCGCTCGCAAGGAAGCTGGTAGAACTCTTGCTCGCTTGGCTGCTCATGATCTCTATGAAGAACTTTGTGTCTGGAAACTCTGGATTGGCTTGGAGTCCATCGATGTTCTACTGTCCACGAACCGCGATCGGCCTATATTTCCGAACCTGAAACATTTCGGGGCATCCATTGAGTTTGATGCGGCGGCTCTTCTATTCAGACATTTGCCTCCAACCCTCTCGAGTCTCTACATCCGTGAGGGATTATCCGAACCTTGGTTTCACCTTGTGTCCGTCTTCACAGGGCTCGAACATCTGACTGTAGAAGGTTGCGACTCCGTACTCAGCATGTCTTCTGTTGTGCCTCTGGGCAAGTTGCATAATCTTCGTAATCTAGTGATCGTGTTGAAACATCCAGTCCGCGATTATGGCGTTGGCAGGAGGAGGACCCAGGACACGCCATTCACCGATGACGATTTTGCAGCCATGACTTCTGGAATGCCTCTTCTGCAAAGCCTCGAGCTCAAACTACCTTGTGAGCTCTCACTGCCTGCTCTGACATCATTGGCCATCAATTGCTCCTCATTCACGACTTGCCACTTGTCTACTGAGATCGATATACATGGCTGGGGGAGTNNGGCGGGAGATCCGAGGTTTCCAAAACTAGAGACCCTCAGCTTGAGCCATGGAGAGCATGTGGATCCATGGGGTGACACAGGTGATACAACCAGGCAAACAATGGAGTCCGTTCATGACTGTGACAATGTCGGTGTCGTTGTGCGGCAATGTCCAAACCTTTCCCGATTGCACATGCAGTACAAGGATTATGGTATGTTCGAGCTGGGACAGGTCAGAGCTAGGGCAGGTCGGCATGGATGGAGGGATATTGTCCTGAGCAGTGCTTTCTGAGGTGTAAGAATGGTAGGTAGATGAGTATGCATACACTAACTGTCTTTGCCTTCTCTTGCGCGTAACCTTGTAGCATTGAGGAAAGCACTTTTGGTGTTGGAGTTGCCGTCGCTTCTTCTTGCACGTCAACCAAAATCTTGGCATTGTCAACTACCAACAACAACATTGACGTCCGCTCTTTCCATCCTCATCTCTTGCCCTCCTCCCCGTCACCCACAAACTTAGCATCTTCCACTCAATCTTGCTGAGAGTGCGGTTCCCCTTCTTCTCCTCGTACTGCACTCTCACAAACCTTCGCTTGGCTTCCACACTCGACTTCCACCGCACAACATCATCTCGATACAAGACTGCACTACCAAAACACGTCAACACGCGCGTCAACATGTCTGCATCGCACCAAGCCGTGGTGGAGGTCCCCAGAGCCATCGTGCGTCAACACATTGCCGAGTGCGACGCTCACGACTGCCGCTATCATGACTGGCACCAGACTATGGACTCTCCCAGACTCGCTCACCCACTCACCCTCTCTCCTCTTCTCACGCGCATCGGGTCCATTCCAGAGCTCGTGGGCAAGATACTCTGCCACCTCGACAACAACGACCTCTTCAACTGCCTGCTCGTCAGCAAGAAGTGGAGCAACGAGGCCGTCCGCATCCTCTGGAACGACGTCCCCCTGGAGAAGCTCCTGACCGCCTGCATCAACGAAGATCGCCTTACTACCTACACAGCACTTCTCCATCATGCTCAGTACACGATGCGCACCGGCCAGAACCGTATGCCCCTATACTCGTTGGGCTGGACCTCGTCTACCATCAGATCACTACCTGTCCTTCCCAACCTCATCAGCCTCAAGTGTGGTCCTAACTCGCTAAGCAACAGGACTGTCGTTGAACTGTCTGCCATCTTTATGCCTGGACTCAAGACACTGGTGATCTGCGACGACGCTAGCCACGATCCCAGACGTGCCCGCCCACTGCAGTCGCCTGCTGCTCTGTGGTTCGACATCATGGCCCATAACTGTGCACACCTCACTTCAGTCAGCTTTGGCCTCAACTTGCGCATCAGCACTATGGCCTTTGAGCACTTCCTCAGCCGCGCCAACAACCTAGAGTCAGTTGCCCTCGCTGCTGGCTATGAGCATCTGCTCGTCGACGCTGTTGCCCCTGTTCTGAAGAGCTGTCAGCTTGATGCGACCTTCGATGTCCACGGCAACCAAACTCTGGACTGGGAGACACTGTCCTCAATGCACGCTCTTGAGGACCTCGAGATCACAGTCTGTGATGGTGTCTGGCTTTACACCAACGAGCTACTGCCCCTTCAGCGTCTCACCAAGCTGAAGCGACTCAGTATCATTCCCGAGACTGACGAACTCTTTGCTGTTGGCTGCAGTACCTCTGCTCAGGAACTGGTTTTGCTCTTCGAGGCTATGCCTCTACTTGGCCAGTTTGAACTCTTGATCGACGTCGGCTTCTTGGTAACTACAAAGGTGCGTTTGGGAGAGGCTTGGGTGGGTGCAAGCGAGGGTGTCTGGTTCATGGGCAAGGAGTACCGTCAGGGGTTCTTGGATGACTTGCGCGGTATCGTTGAGAGGGAGAGGGAGGTTCACCATGAGGTTGGTGCTACTGAGGTCGAAGCTGGTGCTGAGGTGGCACAGTGATGCTTCTTGCGACACATCATCGAGTTCCCGCTTTCGTCAAGGCTTGTCTATCGCCTCTTCGACAGGTTCTCGACCTACAGTGGTGACCCTATTCCAGGGCCCATTCATTTGGAACACCTTACAGTCGCTCTTCTTCATGCTGCGTCACACCACCCTTGTATTCACGAACGAGACAAGATTTATCTGACCCTGAACATTTCCTGGATACATGACGATAAGCGAAGACATGGTATCCGACATCTTCATGTGGATATGAACGGGGTGGAGAATGGTTGGTAGAATCAACAATGGCAAGTCTTTTTCGTTTCTTGCATGCTTTTCCGTCTTTCCCCTCTTCTTCGTTCTAGAAAACATACAGAAGAGAACACACACAGAGATCCGATACACAATTGAATGCATTAAACCTGGGAGGTTGAAGGCTAACAGATCTTCCTCTGGGGTTCTTCCTGATGTTCGTTTGCCGCGAGAGCAACCAGCCTCACCCAGCCATGGAGGCAGTTCGCACAACTCGTGGTCGCATACATCCCGATGCTCAGTGCAACTCTCTCAGTGGACAATTGCTTCCCCAATGCACCACTCAGCCGATCTTCCACCTCAAGTCCCGGACTCTTGCCCTTCAACCTTCTGAGAGACATTCCTTGATGTGCATGGTACTCTCGTGTCGTAGTCTTTGTGTTTCTGCTCGGTTCGAGTCGGCATGAAGATAACATCTCCCAGGCTCCGTGCAAGGGTAGTCTGGGAGGTTGGGGTTGCTGTGGATTGAATTCTACTCCTGCAACTCGAACGCTGACAAATGATCCTCACTCGCAGATGGCCAGCAAGGGCTCGGAACGACGTACAACAACGAAGATTTGGAGGAACATGGGACTCGCGGATAGCATTGCAAGTCTCCTGGAGCAGCTGGCCGAGCGCGTTGGACTAGTGGTGAACCATCTTGCCGAGGTCCTGTCCTGTCTCTGTAGCATCGAGTGGAGTTGTCTCGTCTTTGCTGTTGTTATCACGAAGCTCGATGGGCTTCGACTATGTCCGAGCGTGATGGTTGTGTGGAGATCGTTGAGATCTTGCCTCACAATCTTGTTTGCTCCATCTGGGCTTGAGAAAATCGACTATGGAGTAAGACAGTCAGTCAAAGATCAAGGACAGAATACGAGTAAGTAGACATACCCACAAGATCGGTGACTTGGAAATACATACATACGCAGCGACGACAGCAAGATAGATCTAATAGATAGTCCCGGTGGTACTCAGGCAAATCAATCAGGAGCTGCTCGAAGCGGGGTCCCTTGCGAACAAGCGTAGTTGGCGAATGGCGTCGTGCCCGATGCTTGGAAAACAGCTTTCGATGGAGTGCAGCAGGATTCACTAAGCGCGAGTCGACAGGCTGACGAACAGTAGAGCGCTGGAAAGCGATGCGGGCGAAGGGGAGGCAATCAAGCGACCTTGAGCTGCGGCGGAGCGTCGATGGTGTCCGAAATACATCATACGCAACATGGTCGTGCATTGCGATAGAACACTCGTAGCTGGTGTTCTGAATGGACCTGGTAGAGAACAGTTAGCTCGAGTGACCAGAGAGTCAATAACCGGACACGACGCAAGGCTTACTTAATCTTGTGCTGCTCGCGCTTGAAGAAGACAACAATCGTGTCGTCAGCGGAGCCGAAGAGACGACGGAGGAGGGACTTGTGGTCAGGCGAGCTTCTCCTCGCGCTCAGCCTGCGTGATGGCAGCAGAGGCAATGGAGAAGGTCTCGTCGTCAGCCTTTCTGGTTACCTTCTGTTCGGCTGCAATTATTCTGGCGGCAGCAGCGGCGCCAGCAGGAAGAGGTTTGCCATTAGGGCCAATGTTGTTGACCCTAGCCACGAATGATTGGTGGGTGACAGCAGTCGCGTTGATGGCCACAATTGTGACGACGGCTCAGTAGAAGATGTAACCGATTGAATGGGAAGTGTATGTTGTAAGATCTTCTGGTGATGACGACGGTGTCGGCGCCGAGTGAATGAGAGGAGCCGCCATCGATTACCCTGATAGAACGGTCTTGTTGTGTTGAGCACAGCTCGTGTTAGGAGATCTTGAGATTGACAGACGGTGTCGCAGCGTCAACACAGACAAAACAGAAAGATGCAAGAATGTCGATGAAGAGGCGTAAGGGCCAGCCGCAGGAACAAGCCGAGGCGTGACCCGCTTCAAACCTCTCGAGGAGCAGTGAGGGTAGCAGGCGTGGTGGCTGTCGAGGATTGGCTGGAAGACGTGATTGCTTGTCAAGCGGTGAAGGCGACGGCGCGTGCCTTGGTCCGGGAGATAATTCCATGATTGTTCTCGGGTGAAGCGGAAGAGAGCTAGTCATGCTGCTGATGCTTTCGGACAAAGGGATCAAATGCAGATCACGAAAAGAAAACAGACGCTCCTTTCAAAGCATTCAAGAATAAAGACTGACGGAGGCCTACGAGTGCTTGATTGCATTCCAATATTGCCTGGTACTACAATTTCCTTCTATCCAAGAACATCTAGTTGCCCATCTAAGGATCTGGAGACAGGTCCAAAACCTCCTTCATATCGACCCGCATTAGAGTTCGACTCATGAGAACGTTTAATGCTGCCTAGACTGTTTTGCTATCTGACTAGCAAGGCAAACCTTCACGTTTTACTGGATATCAGTGGGGATCGACTATGATTTGATTGTTTGGCCATCCTAGGTGCTATAGACGAAGTGGATAGAACTTGGTAAAGACAGTGCGAAGCAGGCATCTTCAGGCAGGATCCTACAATACAAAGAAACCACCGGCAATGTTTTGGACACTCACACCAGGTACCACCCTTCTTGGAATACTTTAAAGCACTGTTCGGGTGGTGGAGGTCATCTCAGGAATATCGACCTTCTCAATCTATTGGAGAGCAGCTTCGATAGCGGTCTTCTCGTCAGGCAAGCAGACCACCTCAACCTTACCTAGGTAGAGATACAGCTTCTTGAGCTTGGGCAAGTTGGTTAGGAAGTATGCAAGCTGTGATCCGGTAATGGAGATTGTGCCAGGCTCCTGAAATTCCAGACCGAAGATCTCGAGGTTTTGCAGATTAGAGATCTGCACCAGGCAAGCGCCGTCAAAATCCACGCTACCTTCATCGACCTCGATTTCCAAAATGTCAAGATTCTTGAGAGTGGTTATAGTCGCGAAGACTTGATCAAGACCGTCGTAGACAGTGTTGAGGCCGAGGCAGAGGAGGTTCAAGATTGGCATGCGAGATAACAAGCGAGCCGCAGCAGTTCCGGAGCGAATGAACACTTTTGCAAATCCGCGGAAGGATGGAATTGACCAACTCTTGCCCATTCTGCCAAGGAAGACCGCAATGTCGATTTCTGAAATTCCCACCCCGTGTGGGACACTGAGAGAGGTGAGATGCGGTTCGTTGAGCCACTTTCCAAGACGTCTGTCGCNGGGATATTCGGCGATCAGATCCTCAGTGATGGTGCCGAGCCACAAGCTTTCGAGAGAGGTTGCGCGGTCCAGCAAGTCGATGACCAAATGGTTGTTGGGGAGGATACAGCCTGTCTCGAACTTGAGATGGGTGAGCGTGTGGCAGCCTGCAAGTAGGGCGTTGAGGAGGACTCGAAGGTCCGCCTCTGCGGTGTGCTCTCTCGGAAGCGCGCCGTCCTCGTAGCCCCATTCTCGCAGTGAAGGCACGAATGGTGACATGAGATTGTTAGGGCGTGCCCTTGCGAGGTTCGACTCGCCAATCTCCACAGACTGAAGGCGCGAGAATTGCAGATATTGTTGTTCCAACCTTTCGCTAGCCGGAATGGTATCTCCCGGGACGAATTCAAGCTCCTCGACCAGGCTGGCGTAGTACTTGCGACGCTCGGCGTTTTGGACGAAGAAGACCAGGTCCTTGATTTGCGTACTGCGCCAGACGTGGTGGTGACCTTCCTGCCACCATGTGCGACAAACCTCGGAGGCCTGGGCGAGTGTGTACTTGTCGTCGAGCAGGTGTGAGAAGACAAGAGCGACGATCTCCGGGCAGAACAAGGGATGCTTCTCGAGTCTGTAGAGCGAGGAATTGCGAGCTTGAGTAGGATGGGGACTATACCGATGATATCAGTGCTGTTTCCGGGGAGCGACATGGAACAGATAGGAAACATATGCAAAGGAGGCAGGACGAGGAGCAGGCATGAGAGCAGGATCCAGTGCGAGCTTGATGCGCTTGTTCAAGGGAGCCATGGTGCTTCCGACTGTAGCAAGAAAGCTGGTCTATTGCGAAACAGTCGGCGTGATGAAAAAGAAGGTTGCCGAACGACAGAAAGTAAACATGTGTCGAAGTCGAAAAGTCACAAGCTTGGAACGCGTCGAGTCGTGTCGTCGACCGAACAGCCCCTGAACGACGCCCCGACTTGTATTCCCGCAATATCCATATCAAGATCGCTGTGTTATGATGCCCATGATCATGCAAGAAGCTGTATCCCGCCGTGCACGACCAAATGAGGAACAGTTCCTTGAGCCTGCTTCTCTTGGAAGACGAAGTCGCCCCCTGCTTTGCTGCACTATCCCAAAATTGACTCACTGTATGAGGGTAGACGGATCATTTGACTATCAAACGCCAAAGCCATTTGTTCGCATATGACTTATTTTCTTGGTATATAGGAAAGATGGCAGCATGTTTGAGACCACCGAGGTGCCATTCTTCTCTTCTATCTGAAGTCGACATAAGATTATTGAACCCAAGCAACGTCGGAGACATAGTTTGTGAGGTTGAAATGCTGAGATTCAGATTGATTGTATTGTTGTGCTTCTTCCAGGTCATCGTTCATGGAAGCTGGATTCATGAAAACGGAAGGCTACGTTGGGCTATAGAGCTGAGTCTTGTCGCGAAAGAGATCATGGCTTCAGTCGTAGGCAGGAAGGTCAGAACCGAACCGAGCTCCTCCAGTCGTACTTGACAGATATTTTACCGTAGAGAAAAGGTACCCAGCACACTGATTCTCGACAAATCTCTGACTGGTTGCTTCCCAAGCAGATATTGTATTAGCTTTATTCCGGCGTATTGGCCAGGGAGTCGATAGGATGCCGCGATGTTGCTCTGTCGCAGCGAGTAGCACCTTCGTCTTCTTCACATAATTGTGCTTGCCAACATACTTAGATACATATATGTATAGACGGATCTGAAGCGAAATCATAAGGCCGTTCAGGCATTCCAACGGGATCTTGGGACATTTCTGGAAAAGAACCGTCAGGGCAACATAGAGAAGAGTTACTGGCCAGGAAGGAAGAGAGCAGGTAAAGTCGTTCTATAAATCACTGCCCCTCCCATTATACACTTCTAGTGGCTTCTTCTTCCTTGCCTCTCCATCTGTAACAATCAAAAAAATCGATTTGACGACAAAGAAACCAATCTCATACCAAAGAGTATTCCACAAACATTCCAAACATTCTTTTTGAGTCATACAGATCCTTTCTACCGATCAGCAATCATAGTTTGCCTCGTTCAATGCCGTCCTTGTGGGCATCTGAATTGTGGTAGGGCATTCCTGTCTGTGAATATCACCAAAGAACAAGACCTCGATCTGCAAGCAAAGTCTAAGAACTCATAGCCATCGAATACAGCAAGGAGAACATAGAGTACAGACAAGATGATCTGCTCCAACAACCATCAAGGTATCGGACTTCCGCCAAGAATTGAAGTCGAGCAAACGCCGCAAAGTCTCTGCTCCGCCGAAAAAGCCCCGCAGCACCAACCACTTCTTCCAAAAACTTTTGCACTTTGCAAAAGAAGTTTGCTCTATGTAACAGGTAGTCTGGATGATGCAAAAGAAGATTTCCGACACGGGGAATTGAACCCCGGCCTCCTCGGACCTGGTCATTCGTAAGAATTGTTTGAGAGCGAGAAATCCTAGCCACTAGACCATATCGGATGTTGTTGAAGCTCATCTCGACCATACAGCTCATAATGACTGCAATTGTGCTTTTTGCTCAAGCTCCAAGGCAAGCCATGTTGAGCAACATACCTTGATCCTTGATCTCTCGAAGAAAATTGGCATGCGACATACTACTTCTGCAGTATGCGATGAAGCGCAAAGATGAGGGAAAGCGATCGCAGGTGATTTCTAGCAAAAGAAAGCAAAATCGTAGGGAAGGAAAAATGAACGAAGAATTGCAAAACACAAAGACCACAGCCCATGCAGACCGTTGCAATAGAGGTCCTCCGAGCTCCTCTCCATCCATCCATCGTGTCTCTGATCTTATGTGTTTTCCTGGTTATGTGGGCTGTGCAGCGTCTCGGTCTTTATCATCGCTCTGAAAAATGGCAAAACTCTTATAAGCAAAGCGAAAGAAAATGCTGAAGATCTTTACCGGCATCGATGGAAGGATGAAAGTTTCACTATCATTTAGTTCAGATGACAAAGGTCGTGTCGTCTTCTTGACACCTATCATAGCGGCACATGCATGAAACCGATTGTTGACTGTGTCTTAATTGAAGCTCGATACAATCAGACTAACCTCCCCGGTACGGAAGCGCTTCAATATAGGCGCCACGGCAATGAGTTGTTTGGCGAAGAGTTTGACATCCACGTTACTAGGTGAAGGTATGTCAGCAGGATACAAGACCAAAGTTGAGATGTGCAGTCAACAGATGCATCATATTGACAGATACTAATAGGCATATGCAATACTATGGCAGCGCAATACCATCTTCCTATACATATACATACATATAACCAGCTGAACCGAGGGAAGCATATATACACGATTGGCTTCTCAAACATCGCTGACACATCGTCTATCTATGCTTCGATATCGCAAAGCCCTCATCCACTATTCAAAGCAATTAAAACGAGGCAATGACCGAGCTATCATATTCAAGACGGAAGATCAAAGTACAACCACTTCTTTCTTGGTGCCCAAAGCTTGAGACTAATCGGCTTTTCTGACATTTTCAATGTGGTAAATCGCACCAACAGCAAACTGTAAAGACAGATGCAGCAAACATCCAGGACATACATGCCCATAAAGGTCAGACAAGTATCATCACACCTCTCTTTGTAGAATCATACGCCGCGAACATGATTCATATGGTTGATTGGTGCTTGATGGTTCTCAGCAGAAATGACAAAGGGCACATTTTGCTCGAGGCCGACGCAGCAACACAGAGACTGGCTAGAGATGTATGATTCCCTTTTTCTTACACAAGCCCGCCTCGCCTGGTTTGTCAGGACTTGCGCAGAAGTCATCAGAGCCACAAAGCGAGTGGGAGATGCACTCCGTCCATACCTGCAGGGGCGGAGAAACCCTTAGAGAACGTCTGGATATAACACTCCAAACCACGAAGAACGCAAATCATTCATCAAGAAGGCCGAGAAGAGAAGAGAAGAGACAAAAAGATCGCATACTCAATAATTATCATAACCGCTCATACGGCAGCGTCGCCCTACCCCNCTCATGTTCCGTGATCGTATCCTGTCTCCCCCTCAATCTCCCCTCATCATCACNTCCTCATCCCCCTCAACCCCTTAAACTGTTCATCCTCCTCTCATCCTCCTCTTTACTATCCCCATCAGAACCTTCGCTCAAACTCGTCCTGATCTCTACACTCTGCACCACTTCCCTGGTTTTCCATGCGCCCAAGCCGGGAGATGGTAACGGAGGTAATTCATGCTGATACCCTCCCGCAATCACCACTTCAGTTTTCCCGCCGTCGACGCCGCCGGCACGGAGTTCGTCGAGTGTTACTAGGGTTTGGTCATCCATATCCATGCGATTTTTGCTGCGTTTGCCTCCTCTGGCGCTGATAGTGTTGCCGAGGGGTCTGCTGCCGGTTTGCGTAGAAGGCACACCCAGGCNGCTGCGGAAACGGGAGAGGAGAGGGCGTAAAGTGGCAGCGTTGGCGGCCGTGCAGCCGATGCCGAGTTCGACGGTTGTCCAGATGGCGACGTCGGCTGTGTTGTAGAGGAATTCGCCTTTGAAGTCTTTGAGGGTGTGGACGAAGGNGGTGCGGATGATGGTTGCTGTGCTTCCTCTGTTTGATTTCATGTCTGTCAGCTTTTGCTCTCCTTGTCATTTCTGTATTAGGTAGGAAAATACTCACAAAGCGGCAAAGCCCAAGATACTGGCCACCAAAACCTTGGTCTGCCTCTTCATCTGCAACTTTCTAACAATAANAAAGGGCAAGATTCCAAAAGTCCAGTCCGCCACAGAGTTCAAGACCGAGATGATATAAGTGTTGATTACGATGACTTTGGGAGACAAACAATGGCCATGATGATCAGGATTGAGATCCCACCAGTAGGAAATAGGTCGGCATTGGAAAGTGACGAGCAAACAATAAGGAACGGCAAAGACGACGTTGAAAATCATGATCCAGCGGATGATCCAGATGTGCATGCGGTCGACGGCGATACGAAGTAAGAACAGGCCGATGCTGATTTTGAGCGTTGCGGTGGCGAGGGTGTAGGTGATTTCGCAGAAGAACCAGTANNCTGTTTGGGTTGCGAGTATTAGTGATGTTGCTCGTTGTAGTGACAGGATGATGCAAGAAGGACTAACCATTAGACCAGTTTGTGCAGTGTCATCGTCCAGNNAAGCTTTCTTCTTGCCGCTTCCGTGTGCGACACCCATGAGTTGGCAGACTAGGTAAGTGAGGTATAGTGCGAATGCGCCCACCATGGCGATGTCATCACGACCGGCCTGACTACGAAGGATTTTGGTCCTNNGTGTTCATTGCTTATCAGTATGATGAATCAAAGGAAACCAGAGCAAAGATACAAACCTCGTGTAAACACGCAACGCAGTAGAGATAGCAGTAGGAATCAAGAAAGCAATGGCCGAGCCAAGAATCTGGCCGCTTCGATCGTCTGTACTCATCTGTGCTATCGCATATGCGGTCGACTGATTCCTTGGAAGATGTGTATGAAACGTAGCGAACGAGAATAAGTAAAAGATAGAGGATGTTATCAAGTCGACATGGTGCTGCGATTGGAAGAGGAGAAAAAATAGGAGAGAAAGGAGAGTAAAAAGGAAAAGACCAAGAAAACCAAAAAGCCTGGATAGAAAGAGGCAAGAGACCTCCTATATGGGATGCCTGGTCCTCCGCGATTCGCGGTGGCTCATACGTACTATATAGCAAGGCGAACATGGATCATCATGGCTAACCGCAAAAGGATCCAAGAAGGAAAAGCATGCCGAGTCAAGCCGGCCTAAACCAGTAGTTCTCGTGGGGAGTGTTCTTTTGCTTCGACATCAGGGTGTGGTGAGACGTCAGCAAGACTCGATTGGGTGATGATGTTCAGAGCCTCAGACCCTTCCACCATCTGTGCTTCTCTACGCAATTTGTTCCTCTTGTCGCCGAGCCGGAGTTAACATGTCCACGACCGTCAAGCAAGGAAATGTGGTTGATCGATTCTGTCGCTGTTTCACCAGCACCTTCCATACCACACGACAAATGCCGTAGAAAAGCTGTCAGTATATCATGTTAAGTGGCGTCGCAGCAATACCATGAAGGATTTGACACTTCATATAGAGATCCGAGTACCCAGTCCAGCAGCAAACTCGATGCAGGGAGGACGCCTCGAAGGAACATGATCGGCAACGTGGGCAGGAGAGCCAAGCGGGAAATGGCAATCTGGAGTTACTGTAATTATGTTAGCGCGACGAGTCATCAAAAGCGTGCCCTGGATAACATGTTGACCGCCGTGCTGCAATTCGAGCAAGCCGACGGATCATGATTGGGTATACCTTTTTGTCAGTAGTTGCTCTGACTCGAGATCATCAGCAGCGACCCGCTTCGTGCGAACGAAGCAGACATGATTTGTTCGAAAGGAGAGGAAAGAAACGTCGTTGAATTTCATGACTCTCAAGCTTCGAGCGACAGGTGCTAGTTTGAGGATCCGTGCACGACCACCACCAAGACAAGGTGACAGGATGAAACCCCCGAACAAACTTGCAAGAAACCTTCTCTCGCGACCTCGGTATCTGTCGATCACAGCGACAAAATGTATGAAGAAGCTTGCAAGCGAAGCGGTTTCATCTGTTAAACTTGCGAAAGGTCTCAGAGAGCATACGACGTGCGACCATGGCTAGAACACAAAAAGTCGAAGAACCAGATCAGCACACCAGAGCACCCGCGAGTCAAAAGTCTCGGCCAAATTGAGAAAAGCACCAACACAATTACTCTGCCAATAAGGCTCGACGAATGTCGCTTCAAATAATGAAATGTTCGACTCCAGCTAGCAGAAATGGCAGTACGATCGGCGACTCAAGTCTTCTCTATTAATACAGCCTCCGCCGCTTGCATTTGAAAGGAGACTCGGCCATCTCCGCCAACCACGATTTCCTCCTTGTTGAGTTCACCAATCTGTGCTCCAGTCTGTGGTTCGAAACTGACGCCAGAGACGCTGATCCCGCTCTTTGCATTTGTGCCTGGGGCTTGGAGTCGGATGACCCCGAGACGAGTGCCCGGGCGCCAGGGCGTGGTGATGGAGACTTCACGGTAGGGATGTTCGCCCGCGGAGTGGAAGGTCGAGTCAGTAGTGCTAAGGGTGGAAGGGTTCGAAAGACCCTCAGTGCCGTTCCAGACTTGCAGATCAACGAAGACAAGTTTATTCAGTGGATCTTGGTGAGGGTTGGCAGATGAGTAGATGGCATACCCACTGAAGTCGGAGCTGTTTGCGGTGGGAAGTTGAGCAATTCGCTGCTGCTTGTCGGAAGCCAGTACGTGCGACATGAAATAATGGCCGTAGAACAAACTTCGAATACCAGCTTGAAGGCTCTCGTTCTTGTGCTGGTAGGGCAGGGNGACAAAGCTGGAGTATTCGGCATTGGCTCCAAGATGAAAGTAGACTTTAGGCATGCCGATGCTGGCTGCTAGCAAGACATAGTCGACATTCCAGAGAGCAGCGCCAAAGGTGTCGCTGATGCCACTGCGACCGGAGCATGAGGCTGAGTTGGTTTCACCGAAGACAAGTGGGATACCTGCCTTGTCTGCTGCTGCGACTTGTGGTACATATTGCGACACATTATGCCAGAGAACGCTGTGGTTAGACAGCAGATTCAGACTCAATCGAAACCAGCGTGCTGTGTCGCAGGTTGACTGAGGGTACAAATGGACGGCATATGACCCAATCTTGTCGTGTTCGGTCAAACCAGCACGAGTGAGGTTGATAATGTCAAAGTCGTCAATTTCGTCTTGCTGGTCAGGCACCCAAGGAGGATCGGCGAATACTGCAGCTTGGAACTTGGGAGGGTGTTTTGCTGCTTTGTACCAAGGAGACTGAACGATTTGGTTAGAGATGTTCCGCCATTGCTGGATATACATGGCAACGTCCCAGATTGATGGTCGCCAGCCTTTGTTGATGAAGTGGTCAATCTCGTTGCCTATCTCAAACAATTTGAGCCTGTTGCCGAGGACGCTGTAAGCTGCAGCGGCTTCCTGTACAGCGTTCTCCCACGCGCTCGAGTTGTCCTTGAGGTTCAAGGTGTAGAGGAAGTCTGTTCCGTCAGGGAAATAGCTGCCCCATTGCTCAAACCATGCATTGCTGATGTTGAAAGTGTTCGTGACGGTCGTGTTCGGTAATGCCATGGCCGAGACATTCAGTTCAGGGTGATAGTACGTCTGGTCGCCAGTGTTGCCTCCGATTCGGAATGTTGGTGGTTTGCCGGTGATGTTGGCTATAACATTCATGAGATTGCGAGTCAGGTTGGAAGAGATGTAGTCCTGAGTCCAGACTGGTTCGAGAGAGTATGCATAGGCATCACGCAAGAGCTCACGGGTAGGAAGATGCTTCGGAACAAGCACCTCCGTAGCGCTTGTGGTAACAGTAAGTGCGAAGAGTAAGGAGATACTCGATGACTTGACCATGCTGACGAATGTGAATAAGCACCTACCTCGCGATGTCTCGCGGTACTCTTATGTACTTGATGAAGCTCAGAGTTCTCCCGGGATGACTCGCTATTATGCGATGATGGGATATCACGTCGAAGGGGGCAGGGCAGATACGAGAAATGCAGTGCTGATCAGGTCCAAGGTTGGAGAGGGTGTGCGGGGTTTCGGTTAAATCACAGGTATGCCTTCATCTTCGGTGTTGAGATGTCGCGAGAGGTCGAGAAAGCGGAGGAAGGCTTTAGGGTGTGCATGGACCAGATAGTGATGAGTGAGTATTACCTTCTTGTCGTTCAAATGCCTCAGTATCAGCAGAGACCAGTAATAGAAGACAGCAGAGACGTCTCTCCGTCAGTATTGCGCCGTGAAGCTTCATCGTCGCATCGCTCAGTCGTGAACGACCTTTGCATCGCTCAACCCGTGGCAAATTCTGAACATCGGATCTCATTCCAGTGAGATACTTGACGATGAGACACTGATTCTTCTGTGATGGCTAGACGATATTGTCGAGTACGCGTGGGAAGGGAGACAGAAGACAAACACCCTTCCTTCCAGATTGCGCCCCTGGCCAACACTTCTGACCAAAACATGACGTCTTCGAAATCACCTCGATGGTCAGGGAGGAGCTTCCTCTACCCATCGTACCTTCCTTATCACCTAATTCCATAACAATCTGGAAAGAGCAATCTCTGTGGCCTTCTCATAGTACCAAAGCTTCCTCTCGACTCTGTTTGACTTGTACCTTGCCTACCCACCACCGAACCCATCGTACTCTGTCTCGACACAACCGCTAGACCACTGTACCTACCCATACCCTCTTATATCACTTAAAGCATCACACACCATGCGCATCCTCATCACCGGCTCCAGCGACGGCCTCGGCCTGCTCACCGCAAACCTCCTTTGCAAACGCTCCCACCAAATCGTCATCCACGCCCGCAACCACTCCCGCGCCACCGATGCCCGAACCGCCTGCCCCTCTGCACACGCCTGCGTAATCGGCGACCTCAGCACCCTCGCCGGGATCCGCGCCTTCGCACAAGAGGCAGATAAACAAGGTCCCTACGATGCCATCATGCATAACGCAGGACTCTACCTCGGCCCCTTTCGTCGCACAGAAGACGGTTTGCCAGCGCTAGTAGCAGTAAACACGCTAGCACCATACATGCTTGCGTCTTTGATGAAAAAGCCTGGCAGACTCATCTTCGTCAGCTCAGGACTACACCAAAACGGGTCTGCAGGTCTAAAAGACATAACATGGCAGCAAAGGGGTGAGGAAGCTTGGAACTCAGGACAAGCATATGCGGATAGCAAGTTACACAATATCATGTTTGGGTTTGCGTTCAACAGACACTATGGGATTCCGTGTGTGTCGGTGGATCCGGGTTGGGTCAAGACGAAGATGGGGGGAGCGAATGCGATGGATGATTTGGATGCTGCAGTGGAGACGTTTGCCATGGTTTGTGANGGGGGTGGGGAGGCAAGCAAAAGNGAAACGGGTCATTTTTATCAGATGAGGGAGAGGGAGTTTAGAGAGGAAGCTGAGGATGTCGATACTCAAGAGAAGTTGTTGAAGATTTTGGAGGGAATTACTGGCGTCAAGGTGCCTGAGTAAAGATGAGCAAGTTCAAAGGTATTGCAATGGAAACTTTTTGTTTCGTTTCTCGAGCAAAGTAAGTCAGCTACGGTACAAGCTCTCATCTTTTAAGCGAAGCAAGGTAATACAAGCTTTCGTCTCAGCAAAGCAAGGGCAGTATTCTCATACTGTTACAACACACAAAGCAATCCTTCGTACTCACATCCTCCACGCAGATCCTTTTCTGATTCTCTACTGAGAACCACCTCTCTTCTCAACATCAATGTGAATCTCCTGCTCGGTGATACCAGCCTCCTTGGTCATGCCCATCTCGTTGGCAAAAGTGGTGGTAGGCTTCCAGCCAGCCGAGTTACGAGGAGTGACCTCCTCAAGCATCTTGTCAACCTGCTCAAGCGACAGTCCCTTGGTCTCGGGCACGAGGAAGTATGCATAGATACAGGCGCATGTGCACAGAGTGCCCCAGACGAAGAAGACCTTGGGACCGAGGTTGCCCTTGTCCTTGCCAACCATAAAAGGGGTGATGACGGCGATGATGGTGTTCCAGAGCCAGTTGCTTGCGGTGGAGAGACCGACACCGCGAGAGCGGATGGGCAGAGGGAAGATCTCACCGATCAGAACCCAAGCTCCAGGACCCCAGGTAGATGCGAAGAAGGAGATGGCGAGGCAGATGAAGGCAATCTGTGCCTTGGTGGCGGCTTGGTTCTCAGTCGAGATGGCAGTGCCCAGGACGGCCGTGAGGAATTGGCAGGTGAGCATACCGAGGGCTCCCCAGATGAGCAGAGGACGACGGCCGAATCTTTCGATGGTCCAGAACGAGATGGGGGTGGACAGAACGTTGACGAGAGTGGTGATGAGACCGATCAAGAAGGGGTTCGAGATCGTTCCCTGTTTCTGTCAGTTGCTTGTGTCAACAGGGGAAGGGAAGGGACTTACGAGCTGCTGGAAGAAAGTGGTGCCGAAGAAAAAGATAAAGTTGACACCAGTCCACTGCTGCATCATCTGGAGAGAAGTGCCGAGGATGGTACGGCGCAGATTGCTGTTGGCCTTCCATAGCGAGCCCTTAAAGCAGTTGGCCCAGGACGAGAAGTAGCTACCCTGAGGAACGACAGAGAGCTCATACTCGTGGTTGGCGATGATCTCGGCGAGTTCCAGCTGGACGAACTGCGAGTCGACGGGTTGACCACGGACTGAGGNCAGAGCGGCGGCTGCCTTCTCATGCTCACCCTTCTTGACAAAGTAACGAGGCGATTCAGGCAGACAGGCAATGCCGACACCAAGGATTAGGGCCCAAGCGATCTGAACGGCCACAGGGATCCGGTAAGAACCGCTGTCCATGCGGTTCTGTGTTGCGTAGACGACGACCGAGGCGAGGAGGATACCGATGGTAATGCAGAACTGGTAGCACGCGATGAGGGCGCCACGGACCTTTCTGGGGCAGATTTCGGACATGTAGAGAATGACAACGGCAGACTCGAAGCCGACACCAAGTCCGGCAACGAAACGACCAGCAGCCATGAGGCTGATAGTGGTCGAAATGATCTCCATAATGACACCGATTGTGAAGATGACGCAGCCAACCATGATGGTGGTGCGGCGACCGAAAAAGTCGGCAAGGTCACCAGCGATAAGTGCACCTGCTGACTGTCAGCTCATACCAGCGAAAGATGCAGCAAAAGACATACCGAAGAAGGTTCCAGCAGACAGGATAGACGTGACGAGGGCCTTGTCGCTAGCTCCGACCACAAAGTCATCGGCAGGAGTGTCGTAAGGGAGACCGGTAAAGGTGTGGATGGCGTACTTCATGCCCATGACACCGCNTGGCATCAATGTCAGTCATGTTGAAGATCATCAGAGAGTACTGATTACATACCTGATCCAACCGACGTCGTAGCCAAAGTAGATACCACCGAACGAGGCAAAGGCACACATCATGTAGGCTTTGAAGGTGACGGGAGCCTCGATGCGGTCGACATCAGACGTACCGCGGATCGTGGGAGGAGCCATGGTGGATGGACGTGATGGGGGATGGACCCTGCGCAGAGATCGTGCAGGCGATGGCAGTGCAATGCGTTGGATAGAAAGAGAAGTTGGGGTGGGATCTGAAGATGGGAAGAGGTATTCAGAACGGATTCTGCCAGACAGCTCGTCGCAATCACAGACTGCTGATGGAGATGGTCGGAGAGGACAGGTGGGCGCGTGGGTAGGCATCTTATACCTGATGGCGAGGTCAGTGCGCGATGTGTCTGGTAGGGGAAGGCACGATGGGCGCGAGGAAGGTGCAAACAAACTTCCACTCGCCCTCCGCGAAAAAAAAACATCTAAATCGTTCATTCAGACTTGCACCTGCTCCTTCCCTTCTCGACCATGGGGTCCCCGCGCTGCACGCCACGAAACATGGCCATCGTCTACCGTTCCTGTTCTCCTCGAACTCAATCTTCAAGAGACTTTTGTTTGATCTGCTTCCAGAACATCTCCACGTGCTGCCGTCATTCTGTTTTGGTGTATGATCGTCTCTACTCCTGGCCTTGCTGGACCTCATTCACAAGGTAGACTGTTGCATCTTAGCAAGACCACCTCAAATTGCTCCTGTCAACACATACCAAGCAGTCTTCTTTAGTGCCCTTTGGGTCAAAAATGGCCATTCCGAGTCTCGACTGAGGAGAGCCGGCCACATGTCAAGCGCAAACACAAGCGACAAGCCGTCTCCTTCTCGCTTGCAACCTCCTTGTTGTGCATCAAGCTCGAACGCCTGTTCTTGGAAGCCAAGAGAAGGCGTCAACATCTCTTTCTAGTGTATACCATCGACCCATCATCTTGCCGTCTCCTCATTTCCCCAGAGTTTGCAAACATTTCTCCCCTTGACAACACGACATGAGTTGCTTTCCCCAGGAGATGTCCGTTGAACATTAGGTGTAGGATGATGAGAAAAAGGGTTCTACCTGCCATCTCTAGCGACTGCTTCCCCAGACCAACCCAACACCGTTTCCTGGGGAAATGAATCCAGAAGAAGTCTATTGTTGATTCTCCTTGGCCTTTTCAACACGACAGTTTCCCCTCCAGCGGTCAAGTTCGTGTGGTTTTAAATCAATGACTTGGCATAGCAACCTTCTCTCCCTCGACTGCGATATCCGTCAGTGGGGTGTAAAGGTTTGAAGTGTGGAGGTCTTTGCAATCGGGCCTTCTTTGTGGGGTCATGAAGTTGTGAAAAACGCCTGCAAACGCCATCGTAACCGTGATGAAGGTCTTGCGGCCGAGGCAAATGTGCTCAAAAACAACATATCAAACCTCGTTTCTGAAGCTTGTCGCTGCCATGCGATTAGACTGTCGGGTCTTGAGCGATATGGACAGCGAGAGTCTCTGCTCGAGGAAGCACTACGGATCGTTGATGAGTTCAGGCTTCGTGAGCGTCTCTTTCACGACACACCCTCAACACGCTGTTATTCGTCCTGAATCGCATCTATGAGTAATTGAGTCTTGTTGCAGTGTAGACAATCATGTCTTGGAGCGTCATTCCCACTATCGCGCTTGGTTCGAGTGCCTGTCCATGGAGGTTTGCAGACACGCCAACGTGTGCAGGCGTCGTTTGAGATATGGGCAAAGTATCTGCCCATGAGCATCTTCAGCATATGGTCGATCATCGTCAAATCGCGTTGTCGATGTCCAAGCGCCCCTTGTATCAAAACTGCGACCTGTGACAAGATAGGCTTGCAATGCGATCGACGCGAGTGCACCGGATTGACCTCTTCAACAATCGTAAAAACCGCAAAAGTTTAGTCCCTTCGGTGGAAATGCAGCTGAAAGCAGAATCTTCAGAGCGAAAAAGGTATACAAGTTTTCAGATTGCAAATGACTTCAACAACATCCGATATGGTCTAGTGGCTAGGATTTCTCGCTCTCAAACAGTTGTATTCAATGCAACAACCAGGTCCGAGGAGGCCGGGGTTCAATTCCCGTGTCGGAATCTCGCTTTTGCTTTTGTAGGAGAGTACTCAGCTTTGTCTGTTCCACCCTAAAGCAGAAAAGAATATATTTAGCTGAAGTTTGCGTGGTGCCGAGGCTGCAAAAGTTTTGGCTGAGAGATCCGGAAAGACTTGGCAGACAGGGTCGTACCTCAAACAATGATTTTTGAGCGTGAACATGTTATTGCGGACGACATGGTCGGGTGATACTGTTTTTTAAGTGCTTGAGGAATACAGACGGATGTTTTGTTTAGTTTTGTAGAGATTCGAGTGGCTAGCTATGATGCTGGACTCGATATCTTGCAATCAAGAATATTTCCATGCTTCGCTCAAAATCACGTGGCAGAAGCGTGCGATCGCACTGTTTCTTCGGGAAAACGAAACAGAAGTATAATTACGCTGCATATGTAATGTTAGATACTCTTTGCTCACATATTGTGCATAATGTAAGTTCTAGCATATACAAATAGCTCATCTTACGTGCTGTGGAAGTGGGAGGTGGTTTTCTCGACCGTATAACACGTAAGGCATGTCGAACCGATAGGAAATGCGGCAAAAGCTGCCAAAGCTCACTTGCGCAAGCCAGCAAGAATTTGCCCCGTCTTCTCTTTCGGGTAACCACTTTGGTTACTCGCATACCATGTCATAGTAGCGTGGTAGAAGTGAAAACGATCAATTAAAGAATCTGAATGGTCTGTATTCTATGGTCTTGTGAAGAGATAAACACCAAATTTCACAACATGCGTTTAAGCGCCGGACCACTCAAACGCCATCTGTTCAAGCTCTCAGTCTGATGGACCAAACGTCAGTATGAGAATTGTGCTGCATATTTCTACTCGTTCGTGTCTCCTTCTATGCGATGAAACCCTTTCCCTATTTAATTCTTGCGTACTTTTGGCCGTATAGCACACTGCCAACGTAGAGAAGCGATGAAGCCATAATTCACCAGCCTCGCAGATACAATGTCTACCCAATGCATTTAACTCTTCTTGCGGTCGAGTAGACAAACCGTAGTATGTGGGGCTTCCCACTTGAATCCTCCTCTTCAGCAACCAAGTCTGAGCCCACACGACCGGAATTGTGAACAGCACTTTCTCTCTTACCTCTCTTATCTTTTGCTTCCGTGTTAGAGTTCAGGGCACAAGAGGGCATCTGTTACATGGTGGATACGCATGCGTGGGCGGATGTGATTCATAACGTCCAATTGTGGATATGAGAGTCGGTCCTCTTGAGATCATGTCGCGGCGCAAAGGCATACGCATATGTGATCGTTGTTGAGGCCCGTTTCTTCCTCTGTCGTTACGATGTGACTGCCAAATTCCGTTGCATATTTTCGCGCAGTACTGCAGGTGTCATTCGAGAAGGAGAACCATACTTTCTGGGCCGACTTCGTAGGCGGTGAGGATGACGGTTCTGCGCGAAAGACCTAGACTTACTCTGTAGACGTGAAAGCTGGTACGTTTTGCCATCGTCTTATCGGAGAGAAGACCCAGCGTGGCTTTCGAAGAAGTGGAAGGGTACGATGAACGATGCGGGAGCCTGCTCGTGAGGCATCTGTGTCTCAAAGAGGATGATGTCGTATCGCAAAACGTCGTCCAAAGTCTGGTTGTTATAAAGCAAGGTGGTCACAGGCAGGGAACTATCGTCGTGGTCGCGTATCGATGATGGTCGGGTACCAGTGATGGACTCACTCGTATAGGCAAGATCTGGCAGTCGCTGGGGCTAGTTTACGATATCATGCACAAGTTGACTGTAACCAGGATAGAAGCCAAGAGATGTCGATCTCAGATCTGTCGCTTTGCGGTATATCATCTCGGTAGAAGAAGATGATGCAGCGACAAGAACATCAGCGCGATTGAGCAAGACTGAGGAACAGCGAAAATATCAAATCGATCAAGTCAAAGACCAGAGGCCAGACCGATTGAGCCCTACATAACGTCGTCTTTGAGTCTCTGTAGGGCTTCGGCAGAACTGCAGGAAGCGAGATGAAGGATCGACCTCGTGTCAATGATGAACCGTAGATGCAACGCCCCGCATGGCGGTCCCCACGGGTGACTCGTGTCTATGATCTTGTGGAGAGACGATCGGGATGGGCGAGTCGCACAGTCTTCCACCAATCATGTAATCAGGCTGAATAGGCCCCTGGCGTTCGAGACAGACTTCACGTCTTCACGAGTACTCGTGTATTGTTCACATGTTTGGTACATGTACGGCATCTCTTTCCGCGGAAGAAATTTGCGTGTTGTCTCTGCTTTCGAAAGACACCAACAGAATGGACGAACCGAAGATGCAGAACAGTAGGGAGCGATGAAAGCGGTAGAATGCAACGAGAGCGACGAAAGCGGAAGGCACGAATGCGGCGAGAAGCGATGGTCAAAACGGCTTTCCCATGTGGCCAAAAGTCGCCGTTCGAGAGGCTCCCATTGCTCCTTCTCGTCTCGGCCGCTCTCGTTCGACCACCACAACACCATCAGGAGGTCAATTCTACCTTCATTCCATCGCTTCTCACGCCCTCTCGAACAAGGGATGATTGCGACGCAATTTGCTGATGGTTCTGGCCTCCGTGACATGCGACAAAGGGCTGACGCCCGCTCTCCACACCTCCCGGATACGAAGGCAAGTTCGCTGGTTGTATTGGTTCTTGTGCCGTTTCACCTCCCACCGGTCCCCTTCTTTGTCCTCTGTCTTTCTGCCATCCATCTTCCATCTTGAAATCTTCACGAATCATCCGTCGCAAGGGGCCGATTTTGACACTCGTTCGAGTCTCGAACTCGCTGTCCGGCTTTCGAATTCTTATCCCCAGACCTTAAGTTTGGACATGTCGAATTGTCGGCTGATGCACTCGGCGCATCTTGCAAATCGAGGCTGAACCCATGTGAGGGCTTCGTTATTGATGCGACGAAGATCTCACCTCTTCGGGTCATGTATATACGGCACGGCGCCAACAGAAGAGCCCTACTACTGCAAGGGGTGCTCCTTACTGGTCACTGCATCCGAGGGTGGCCGTTTGCGCATGGAGCCATACTTGTCATGCATGCGCTGCCCAAGCTCTTCGGTTTCCAAGTGTCAATCGTCCTCTTCGAAGAACAATCCCCTTGTCTGTGTATTCTTCGTCTACAAAAGACGTTGGAGACTCGAGTTTGGCTTGCGGTTAAATCCAAGAAGCCTTGTTTGAACGCGCTTATGCCGGCTTAACTCGGGAGATAAGCAATCCACCCCTCCGGCCAATATCTACACGCTATACCCGTTTCGCTCATGTAGCGAGAATATGTACCGGGCGAAGGATGCAAACATCTCCTGGCCGCGGGCGTCCGTATCTTTCTAGCAGCAACAAGTGGTAGGGCGTGCTTCCCACCGGGTGGCGGCGCGAACAGGCCCTCTACTCGCCACGTCCAGCGACCAATCCACCGCATCGGCTGACACGGCTGAATGCGTAGCGTGTTCCTTCCCGGACGCTGTTACTCCCCGGACGTTACTACTCCAGTCTCCACACTCCAAACTCTCCACATGTCTCTCCGTACCTCCACTTGGTTATAAGTGTCCATCCCCACCTGTAATTTCCTTCCTCATCCTCCAATACCCACCTTTGCCAATCCCCCACCTAGGAGAGGTTCCCGACAACATGAATCGCGACAACGAGTCCAAGCCGGTCTACGCCGAGCAGCTTGAGAAGCCTGGTGTCGAATACACCGAAAACGAAAAGACAGATGCTGCTCACAGGGCTGAGGCCATCGAGGCCGAAAATGTTGAACACAACATGACTGTACTCCAGGCCGTCAAGGCTTACCCCATGGCTTCTTTCTGGGCCTTCGTCTTTTCTTGCACAATTGTAAGACAGCATCGTCTCAAAATGTTTCTCTGATGCAACCGCTTACGTTGGCAGATCATGGAATCCTACGATGTCTTCCTTATCGGTAACTTCGTTGCTCTGCCCGCTTTCAAGAAAGAGTTTGGAATTGAAGTCGCCGGACAGGCAGACAAAGTCATCGCAACCCAGTGGCAGTCTGCTCTCCAGGTCTCTGGACAACTTGGTGCTCTTATCGGTGTCTTCGTCGCTGGTCCTCTGACCTCCCGCATCGGTTACCGCTACGCCACCTTGACTGGTCTGATGCTGTTGAACGCCTTCATCTTCATCTTCTACTTTGCAAACTCCATGCCCGTCATCTTCGCCGCTCAGATCCTCGAGGGTATTCCATGGGGCATTTTCATCGCCAACGCTCCTGCATACTGTTCTGAGATCGTCCCCCTCAGACTCAGAGCTCCCGCAACTCAGATGCTGCAAATGTTCTGGGCTATCGGCAGTATCATTGTTGGCGCTGTCACCTACGTGTACAACCCCATCACCGAACAGAGGGCTTACAAGATCCCAATTGCCCTCCAATGGATGTTCCCGACCCCTCTCGCCATCCTCGTCTTCTTCGCACCCGAGTCTCCCTGGTGGTTGACCCGCAAGGGCAAGTACGAGCAGGCCGCACATTCTATCGAGCGTCTTGGTCGCAGATCTCAAGTCAACTCGGCCGACCAAGTATCCATGATGCGTCGTGTCATCGAAATGGAAGAGTCAACAAAGAAGCCCAGTTACATCGAGCTCTTCAAGGGCACCGACGCCCGCCGTACTTTCATCGTCTGCTTCGTTTATGCTGCACAAAACTTGACGGGTAACTTGATTGCCAACCAGGCCGTCTACTTCTTCCAGCAGGCCGGTGTCAGTGACAATCTCGCCTTCGCTCTCGGTCTCATTACCTCCGCCCTTCAAATGATTTTCGTCATGCTGTCCTGGATCCTCACCACCTACTATGGCAGACGTTCGATCTACTTGTGGGGTTCTGCCGTCAACACGATTCTCCTCGTCTGTCTCGGTATCGCCGCTTCCGTCGGCAAGAGCAACGCTGCCAACCTCGCTCAAGCCTCTCTCGGTCTCATCGTCTCCGTTCTTTTCACCCTCGGTCCCGCTCCCGCCTCCTGGGTCATCATCGGTGAAACCTCTGCTATTCGTCTCCGTCCTCTCACCACCGGTATCGGTCGCGCCACCTACTACATTGTCGAAATTCCCTGCATTTTCCTCGCTTCGTACATGCTCAACCCTACTGGCGGTAACCGTAAGTTTTTCCTTCCCTCGATTTCTTTCAAGAGAAGATTTACTAACTTCCTTCGCNNAGTCGGTGGCAAGTGCGGTTACGTCTGGGGTGGCACTGGCTTGATCTGTCTGATCACCGCCTACTTCTTCGTTCCTGAGATGAAGGGCAGATCTTACCGTGAGATCGACATTCTGTTCAAGCGCAAGGTCGATGCTCGTCACTGGACCAAGACTGAGATTGATGTCAACGATGATGAGTAGATGCTGGGAATCAGCTGTGGAACATGAATGTCTTTGTCACTCTCGAGTCTTTCAAGACGAAGGGAGGACTTATACTTGATATGATTGGATGTGCAAATTTTATATGCAATGACACCTCTTCTCTCTGGTCACTCCCTCACTGCAGGTGATTCTTCTGGCTTTAGCCGCCACGACCCCACGTTCACATACAACGTCGCCCGTATTGAGTTCATATCATGTCCAGAATCCTTGAGCTGCTTTGCTGCAAAGTAAACACTTCCTGTTTATCCAGTTTGTGGTTGCTTCCTACTTTCCAGGTTGCAATGCCAATACTACAGGAACCGGTCAGAGGCACTTTGTCTCAATTCGCCCCGCTCTGGTTCTCGATCAGTTCTCGGGATCATCCTCTAGATCAAGCGCAAGGTAGTTGAAGAAGGTCGTACACAAGCAGGCTTCACCACGCTTTTCATCGACACGGAACCACGTCGCGCTTCTCACACCCTCGACAATTACAACACAAGCATTGGATTTACTAGATATGGACGAAAGGATAAGCATACCAGAGTTCCACTTGGCGTATATCCCTGTTGTTGATCTGCTCTTCTCTTTTTGTTTTGTGGGATTCCTCTGTGGACGTGCAGACTTCCTTGTCCAGCAATCTCCGACAGCAAGGAATCTGGACAAGCTATCCACGGCCAGTGAGGGATAGACGGTGACATGGCACTTTGTGTCTAGTGCGTGTTGAAGCAATAAAGGTTTCCGTCGTTGTTGCCGATGTACTGGTCTACAAGATTATCGAAACGGAACATCGTCTTACCACTGCAGGACTTACTCATATCAATGGAGTTCGCGATCCAACCGCCACGGCCATCGCCACACTCAGCGTTGAGAATGCTTCCGCTGCTCTTTGCATTTCTGCAACTGGCGGTGAAACTGCCGCTGAAGCGTATCGTCAGTAGACTGGTCATGGATCTTGACAACTTGACGACTTACTTGAGCTGTGCAACAAGGTGTCCACCAGAGTTACCAAAGCACACATCGAGGTTGCGTCCGACGTACACGTTAGTGCCGCCATTTTTGGCACGGCAGTTGCCATACAGATAATAATGCGGGTTGTTGCTAGAAGGCTGATGGACTTGACTACTAATGCAGCTAGCTGCGTATCCGGAGTTTGCAGCGGCTCCCGAGGTGAACAAGCTGAGTCCAAGAAGGGCCAGGCCAGATGGAGAGATGAGCTGCATGATGAGTAACAAGAATGATTCTGACAACAGATTGCAAGTATGATAAGATTCTGGAGTCTGGACATTAATCGACGGGAATCGCTTGCTACTTATAGACGATACCATCTCGCACGAGTCCCTGGAGCCATGTATAGTGCTCCCAAATGATTCCACACATACGGCCGTACTGAGCCCGATGTAGTGGTAGATTGCAGTTCGAGGATCAACAGATCACACCTGCTACATTGAGGTAAGCAGTCCATACTAACGTGCAGCCAACATAGTGGATGTGTATTTCTGTGCTGCAATTCACCAATCCTAATTAGGAGTTCTGGTCGAAGGATTGATCTACATGCTAAGACTCTCGGTCTATGCTGCCGGCAGAAGCTTGTTAAGCCGACTTCTTGGAGATCTTCTGTGCCCCGTTTGTTTGATGTCTAGATCCAATCAATCGCGTACATTGTGAATACCTGGAATGAAGCTATGGAATCATTCTATCTTCATGGTGGCGATAATAACAAGTTACGTGCGCAAGGCCTCGACTGCAGCGGAGAAGTCTGGGAGATTGCAGACGTAGCGGAGATGGGTTCATGAGTTGGATCGGTCTCGTCATATTCTTCCGCATACATAGTGATGGCCTTTGGGGGCCCATAGTCTCAGGCCTTTACCCAGCTTCGGCGGAGTATCAGATCTGGAACCCTTACAGCTCTCACAACGGAAGATACACGTCAAAGCATTACTATCAGGCCGATACAAAGCAAACTCATGAGCGGAACTGGCCAGTAACAGCACTATGGAGCTTACTACTGACTCCAAGACATCGCCAACCAAGCCTTTGAGCGCGACATACCCTCGCCAGACTGATCATTGATGTCGAAGCATGAGATGAGAGTCATAACGACAAATACTGGTGGCATAACACATTATATCGTCTTGCAGTCGTGATAGTATATACATTATCTGCTTGCCGGCCGCAGCTCCTTTCACAAAACAAAATATACACATTCAGAGGTAGCAGCAACCAAATCTCTTAGTTGGCCAGTCAACACTCTCCACGACCCCAGTTACAGCAAAGCACAAGCGACATGCCAACCTCGTCCAGACCCTCAAGATATACACGCGCATGTGCCAGAGAGGCCAGAAACAACGGGTTTTACGGCTCAGATAGATTTCATGGTTGATGTCAATGACGATGAGATAGAGGTCGATACCGGCCACGACAGCCACGCAGTACACGAAAATCTCAACGCAGGAGAACCAGCTCGGTTATATGCTGTTTGGTCATACTGCTGCTCCTGCCGCTTCGAGTTAGCCTGCTGCAGCTATCGCTTGAACACCACAAGACAGAGCCGGAAATGTCTTGCCAGATGAACATTGTGCAAGTTCATCACACCGTATCTCCAGAATCTCATCTTGCCGCAATGGACAGGCGCTTTTAAGGTCAAATCCGGCATTTCTCAGGACAACACTTCAATCTTGCTCGTACTAGGATGCTGTTATATACGGAATGAGCGTATCGACACCATCCGATCGTCGCCAATCATGTCGGACATGATCAAGTCGAACTTTCGACCCATCTCATGTTAGTCACAACTCGACGGCCAGTGTGATGCTGCCAAGTCGACACCTTTCAAGGATCTAGTTCAAGCTGTGGGAGACGTCAAAGCGCCAACTCCTTCTCATACCCAGTCCATTGTCGACTCGCTCACTCCTGTCTGCTTTCTTCGTCCGCTCGACTTCACTGACTCAGGTGGCTGCAGCTCCCGTCGCCGCGCTCAGCGCAACCGTTCCCTCTCGCCCTTCCTCGACCTCTAACCTGCTCGTGATGTCGGTGACCGCCGTCGCGACCGCTCTCGCGAGCGCCGCGATCGTCGTGAGCGTTCTCTGTGTTCAGTATGTTCTGGTTTGCTTTGTAAAGTTGGCGAACAAAAGTCATAGAGAATCTGACGAATTAGATGATGATGGATATGTCAGGGCAACGAGGAAAAGCATAAGTATATAGCATCCAAGTCCCAAGCCTCGAAACCTGCCATGCGGCTGACCGGAAGGATTATTTCCAAGCACCATCGCGAACATCAATCATTGCTCATAGCCCTTCGCACGAGTATCAGTCATGATCTCTTGAACACACGAACTTCTGTTCGACGTGGAGTGGGAAGAGAGATGGGCAGAGCTTGTGGTAGAGGAAGCAAGGATCGAAGAGTTGGAAGAACAGCACGAAGGTGGCTTTGAGCAGACGCTGGCGGAGAACGAGGAGGACATGAAGGGCTTTGAGCATCTGTTTGAGGGAGATTGAGAAAGGATCCGCTACCGTGCTCGCTTTTGCATCTTGTCTTGTGGGAGTATGGGGAGGAAGATGTTGAAGCCGAAGGTTTCTTTGGAAGACCTGCCATACTGTACAGTTTCGCTTCACCTGAATGTGACTATAGAACTGCGCGAGCTCGAGATCGCATCTAGAAACGAGGGAATCGAACAGCAAGAATACAATGGCTGTACCAGTATCATAACTCGTCCTTGCAGCGACGTACGTCGCTGTGTCTTGGCGTGGTGTGAAAGCCAAAGTCGTCAAACAAACATCACTCTCTGTTGTTTCCTTCCCACACACAACCTCACACTCGCGCTCTTACTAAACTCGATCTTACAACGCCCCTTCCGTACGACATCTCTCGCTACAACATTCCCTCTCACATTCTGTTCTCATACCATTATGTCGTCCATCAGCAACGATCTCGACGATCTCAAGCCCATCGCGGATGAGAATTCTCATGAAGCAGAGCGTCGTCGCTTCCGCAAGGCTTTCATGGCTAAACGTACTCCTGAACACCTTCGAGTCCGCTCCGCCGATATGCTCGTTGAAAAGAAGAAACCGAGACTTGTTATCCGCAAATACAGCGACACCGGCATGTTACCTACGCGCGCCAGGTCCTCGACCATACTCACTTCTTCGCTAGAGCTTGCCAACTCTCAGCTGCAGAGCGGTCTCTACAAGTTGCCCATCGAGCTGCGTATCGCCATCTACAAATTCGTGTTGTGCACTGAAGGCTCTGGCGATGCCGAAGACTCCCTTACCTACACCATTGGAGAGCGCTCCCACTGGGATGGAACTTTTGTCAAGCATCACTTCAACAACTACCTGCTTTGTAACGTCGGCAAGCAGCCTTTTGGGCTCTTGGAGACCTGCCTCAGAGCCAGGGAGGAGCTGCAAGCTCATGTCGTCTCGAAAATCATCTGGCATTTCAAGTCTGCCGGTGCTTTCGACAAATTCCTTCGTGAGCCTGCTCAAACCGAGATGCATGTAACCATCGACGAGTCACGTCTTGAACTTGTTCGTAGCAGTCAGAAGATCGAGATCATAATCCCAGAGGACAACTTCTGCGACAGAGTGGTGTATCAACTCGGTCATATTGGCAGAAGTATCGACAGCCCTTTGAAACTTCATCTCATCGACGAGGGCGGCAACAAAGGCGTTGCGAGCGAAGGCTTTCGTACCGCACAGCTCTGTTGGAATGGACTGATGAAGACACTCGAGGATCGTACTCCATGAGGCAGTGTTGCAGCGGAAACTGAACGACAAGTGGATCTCTTGGAAGTCTGAAGATGGCTGACGGGCACTTACATTGCTCGAGCTTGAGCTCAGCGCTCACACGTTTGTTTCTCCTTCTTCCTGCTTACTGCTTCATGCTGATCTTATGCAGTGCGTTGGGACCACTTTTCTGGACTTTGATGCGTCGTGCCACTGAGCTGAGAGTAAGAGTCCAAGTTGAATCTTGTGCTTTTTGTTCCATCTGGCATTTGAGAGAT